ATGAAACCGATCAAAACTACAAAGAAAATAAGCAGAAAAAAGGAATAGAAAACTAATAAATAAAGCACAGAAAAAGGGAAAAACTTATGGAAGATTCTAAAACTGGTCCGCGAAATCTTTCCAAAACCGCTCTGACTACTAAAGCGAGTGTGCGCCGACCACAAGAGTCGAGATGAGCTACCAACTCATAATAGGGGAGATGTACCTGCTGCATGTGATAGAGCTTCAATGGGTGGTTCGATTCTTCTTTTCCTAATCTTTTAACATAGCCAGAAAAATCTATGGACTGGTACCCCTTAAAAAATCAATGGACTGATTAGTTCAACACACCGACACGCGTCCCTGGTTTCCCACGACTACAGGGGAATGAGGCGTCCAAACTTCAACTCGAACTCAAACTCCAACTCCAACGATGTTGTATACAATGACGTCTCTCCCCGTCGTCGAGATGAACAAGCATCGCCCAATCTTCTTGGTGATCGAGCTCTCTATCCATGACAATGATGACTACCGCGTCCAAGATGTCGAGTGTTGTCGCCGCTGCGCCACCCCCTTAACTAAGCAAATGAGCATCGCCGACTCTATCTCTAAGACGACACCTCGTAAGCATAGTTGACCCCCAACTTAAAAAACCATGAAGAGTAATTTTGACTTTTCTTGGTCCCATATGTGGTCATGTCCGACTTTTAATAATACTAGAACAATGCCCGTGCGTTGCAACGGGATATAAATATTCTAGTACGTTAGCATGTGATTTATCTGTCAATAATAATGCGATTTGTGTAAATAAGTGTTCATCAAATTCTGCCCGTGAATTATCTTATATTTTAATTAGAAGTTTGGTAAGTAAATTAAAATGGAATTGGTTCAGAAGGTAAGTAAATCAAGGTGATTGATTATCATATACATGGAAGGTTGGACGAAGGGGTGGTGGGAAGAAAGGTGAATTTATATTTTAATTAGAAATTTGGTAAGTAAATTAAAATGGAATTGGTTCAGAAGGTAAGTAAATCAAGGTGATTGATTATCATATACATGGAAGGTTGGACGAAGTGGTGGTGGAAAGAAAGATGAATGGGAACCTTAAATTCTTTTTAAGTAGTAGAGACAATTGTTCGTGTGCTTCAGTGAGGATACATATCTTATGGTTCAACACTAATCGTGTTTGATATATCTTACACCCACTGTAATCTAGGTCATGGTAAGATTTGATTTGATTTTAGTATAGGCAGTGCTTGGGATTTTGATAATATTTGATTTGATTTGGGCATGGGTAAAGAATGCAAGAATTGTTTTGATTTAGTTGAGGTTTGGTAAGATTTGATTGAGTTAATGTCTGACATGATTTTGATAAGACCAACGTAGAGGGACAAAGGGAGAAAACCATGAAGAGGAGAAAATGAATAGTAGAGATACCTGGTAATATAACATTTTTCTAACTGAAAAGACACCACCTCATTTATGAAATACCCGTTATTGTCCCAATATAGTTATCACGAGCCACTTCATCGTTCCCCTCTCATGATTCATGAAATTGTGTTCTCAACCACGACAAATTCAATGTTTCATGGAATTATTTTCTGTAATGTGTTCAAGAAAAGCAAAAAACATGTATAGGTTGTTTGCCCGTCTAACTCTCCAAGAACCATTGACATCCGCCACACAAGTATGCCAACTACTATGACAATACATGTTCTTT